TTGCCATCCCTCCCAGATTGTTTGGTTCTTGCAAGGATGTATTTTAGATTACGTGTTAGAGAGCTAGAATCTCTGGATTCATTTAGGAGAATAGGAACAAGCCAGAAAGTTCTGGAGATGGGGTTCTGGAGATGGGATGGGAGAATTGTCATCTTGCATCTGGTGGCAAAATGGCTTGGTCTGGCCCTGTATATGATCAATTATAGGATTGCAGTGACTCTAAGCATTAAATATATGCATGGATATTAAGTTATAGATGGAAAGAATATGCAGTATTATTCAACTTATATTCAAAAAATGTATTTTTTGAATGTTGGGAAACCCTGATGAAGTGAAATGTGGGCTGACGAGAATCTTTGCTGGTGGAGACTTAAGGTAGAATACGCCAGGTTGCTCCTGGAGTATTCTATCCTCAAAGCTGCCCCAAATTCCACCCAGCTGTTTACATAGCGTCCCACAGTGCTGCCCAGTGCCATTGTTGGTGGTGCAGGTCACTCCCTCTGAGGTCAACAATGAGTTGCCTAGGACTGATCACATGACTTGGCTCCATGTTGTGACCTTGGGGGAGTGACTGTGCCCATCAGCAGCAGTGCAAGGTGGCACAGTGGGATGCGTTGTAAACAGCCACCCAGAAAAATCTGGAGCAAAAGCTAGGTCTTTTAAAACTGGTTTAAGACAGAGATAGCCAGGATTCCAGCATGATGACGGTCTGCAATTGAATCAGGGCTTTGGTCTTGCATGTGAAAACAAGTTCCAGTGAGAGAGGGGGAAACCAGTTTAAATAGCCTATGTAGACATGCCATTATTTTGTGCAAAATTTTCAGATTTTTGTGCAGAAAACAGCATTTTCTTCAGAAATCAGCAAAGAATTACATCCTTATAATAGATGTTAAAAATAGTCAATAGTCCTGAAAGCTAAATGGGATGCATTCCTTCTGAGGCTGTATAATCTGGTGGAGGTTTGGGTCTCAGATGTTGGTGTGGCAGAGAATCTTCTCCATGTGTTGGTGGGAACTTTGAAGGAGCTAACCACAACACTGAGCCCTCTCTCCAAAGTGGCTTCTTTACCACTTTTAAAGTCAAATGGATTTTAAAAGTTTCAGCAGCTCAGATTGCTCATGGAGTGGCCTCATTACCTTAGTGACATTGGAACTACCAGACTGTACTGTTGTACTATTTAAGGCACTGGATTCTAGCCCTAAAATAGGAATAGGTCTTTCCAAGTTGAATAGAGATGCTCTACTACTTTAGGGAGCCAGCATGGTGTAGTGGTTTGAGTGCTAGACTATGACTCTGGAAACTAGGGTTGAGTTCCCATCATGGCCATGAAAACCCACTGGGTGACTTTGGGCAAGTCACATTCTCTCAGTCTCAGGGGAAGGCAATGGCTAACTCTTTCTGAATAAAGCTTGCTAAGAAAACCCCATGATAGGTTTGTCATAAGGTCTCCATGTTGGAAATGACTTGAAGGCACAGGACAACAACAGCAGATTTACATAGTTTCAGCACCTTGGATAGCTGCTTTGAAACTACAGTCAAGCAAACAGTGGTTAGCTATGAAGCAAAAACCTAGGTTAGAACCACTGACCTAAAGGATATATGACAGGGGTAGGCAACCTTTCCCCTTTAAGGGCCGAGGGACTTCAGCTCCCAGAAGCCTCAGCCATGTTGGCCAATAGTCCCATGTTGGCCAATAGCTCCTGGGATTCTGGGAGCTGAAGTCCCTCGGCCCTTAAAGGGGAAAGGTTACCTACCCCTGATATATGATAAGGCAACAGGAAGAGGACTCTACGGAGTTTTCTAGAGCCCCCCCCCCCCGCCCCGCATAGAGTCATAGAGCTGGAAGAGACCTCATGGGCCATTGAGTCCCCCACAACTCAATGCAGGTTTCCAGCTAAAGCATCCCCAGCAAGGATATGTCTTTTAAAAGATGTTTTTGGAATACTGCATTCAGTTTAGGATATCTTATTTTAAGAGGTATATAGACAAGGTGGAGCAAGTTTAGAGAAGGTCAACAAGGATAATATGAGCTATGGAGAACAAAACATATGAGAAGAGATTGAAGGAGCTGGGCATATTCAGGTTGAGAAGACTGAGGGGTGACATGATTGTGTTCTTTAAATACCTCAAAGGTTGCCACAGAGAGGAGGGTGCAGGCTTAGTGAATTGAATGGTAGACTAGATAAATCGTACTCTCATCTGTCCATCATGGTAATTCTTAAATGGTTATATTCCTGTATTGAAGTATACATAGTCTGCATCCCATTTGACTTCTTTCTACCTACCTGGCCCCCATACCCATGACTAGTCACTGATTTGTTAAGAATGGTTGTAGAAGAGGGTCTCCCAACTGGGCCCATTTGGATCAAATAGTTCTGCTCTTCCCTAACTATCTTTCAGCACCACACCCAACAATTCCCTCCTTCCTTTCCCCCTCCTGTATTTCAGCTGGTGAGGAAAGATAAGTTGCTGCTGGGCTGGATGGCGGATCACTTGTTCAGCATGCTATTGGGCAGATATGATAACAGCCTCAGCAACCGCTAGAGCTGAGCTGCTGGCTGCTGCTGGCACACTCTTCAAGCTTTCCCTGCAATATTATATTTGACATTCAATTTGAAACCCTAAACTCCTTTAATGCAATATCGCAGCACAATGATAGTAATAAGGTGGCCCAGCTTGCTTCCTATTTAACCGCCAGAGAGACCGAAAGCAGGGACAGAACCTTTCTACCGATATATCCTGGTCCGTATTAGATTAACCTCTTCTTGGCCAACTTTTCTTTTGCAGCTAGGGTGTTGAAGGGCTGTTCTTTCATTAAAAAGAAAAGAAAATATAGAAATGTGTAGCTCTGCATATCAGATTAGGAATTAAAATATCAGCAATGCGCCATTCTTGGTGCATAATGTTATAGAAAGGACTTTATAATCTGCATTTTCATTTAAACAAATTGCAACAAAATAATAGCAAAAACAACCCTAATTCAAGACATCAGATAAAACAGACTATCCATCTGCCTGTCTGCTTATCCATCTGCCTATCTAATTTGTGGCCAGAATCCTATTAGTGCTACAGTAAACACATGTACAAGTTCCTTTACACTTGTGATTCTATTCTTTTGGCTGCTGTGCAACAGATGCACTAAGTTCATGGTTGTGCACTGTGCAGTCCCCAGTAAGGAAGTACATTGGCAAATGCACAATTGATTGCATAATGGACAGTATTGAGAAGGTGGGTGGTGTAGTGCAACCATCACATAACTACAAATATAGATTTACTTTACAGAGCAAAATGTAAGATCTTGGCTGATAGAATTACAGAGCTGGAATAGACCACAAGGGCCATCCAGTCCAACCCCCTGCCATGCAGCAATACACAATCCAAGCACTCCCAACAGATGGTCATCCAGCCTTTGATTAAAAACCTCAAAAGGAGTCTCTGCCACACTCCAAGGCAGTGTGTTCCAGTCTTAAACAGCCCTTATCATCATGAACTTCTTCCTAATATTTAGGTGGAATCTCTTTTCCTGTTGTTTGCATCAATTGTTCCAAGTCATCATCTCTAGAACAGCAGAAAACAAGCTTGCTCCATCTTCAATATGACATCCCTTCCAATATTTAAATAGGGCTATCATATAATCTCTTAACCTTCTCTTCTCTAGGCTAAACATTGCCAGCTCCTCATAGGGCATGGTTTTCAGACACTTCACCATTTTTGGTAACCCTCCTCTGGACACACTCCGTCTTGTCCACATCCATCTTGAATTGTGGTATCCAGAACTGGACACAATAGTCCAGGTGAGATCTAGCTGAAGCAAAATAGAGTGGTATTATTACTTCCCCTAAATTAGACACTATACTCCTGTACAGATACTTGTAATCTATGTATGCATACACATATCTATGAATGTCTCTTTCCATTTGTCTGGATGCGTAACTTCATACAGGACAGCTTCACACTAAAATACCCTTTTAGGAGAGTGTATCTCCTCTGAATGGATGCTTGGAAGAGGTAATGGGGCAAAGCAGGAAAAACAAACTGAAACTAAATCCAGACAAGACAGAAGTATTTACTGTCACAGGTCCTAGCCAGAGTTTGGAGGTGTGTTAATCAATTCTGGTTGGGGTTATATTCCCCCCCCCCCGACAGACTGTGTTCACAGCTTGGGGGTGTCTCTGGTGTCGTTGTTCTAAATGACAGTCAGTTGTGCCTCTTCCTAGAGCTGAAGGATCTAAAGATGATTATGCGAGTATTAATAGTTGGGCTTCTGCAATGCATTGTGCATTGGGATACATTTCTACTGAGTTTGGAAACTTCTTTTAGTTCCAAACAAGACAGCCAGATTCAGTGGCATTCCTGCACTGACACCTGGTGCAGGGAGGGGGGGGGGTCCAGAGGCAGGACTTCTGGCCCTGGACTTCTGGTGGGGTTTCTGGAGTGGGGGTAGGGGCACCGAAAAAGCCCCAGGTGGACTGGGAATGGCCCTGTATTGGTTTTGGAGGCCCCAGGTGGCTCGGAAAAGCCCCCAGGTGGCCCAGAAAATATCCCATGGGGGCTTTGGAGGCCCCAGGTGGCCCGGAAGAATCCCCAGGCAGCCTGGAAAAGGCCCCAGACCGTCCCCAAAAGGCCCTGGGTAGCCTTGAAAAGGCCCCGGGTGGCTGAAAAAGTGTGCTCGGGGTGCGGGGAGCCAACGTGGTGTTACCCCATCTTCTTTGGTGTCACCTCCCTTCTGGGGTGTCACTCAGTGTGGTCCGCACTCCCTGCACCCCACCCCCCATGATGCTACTAGGTTTTTATTTACTGGCACATCTAGGAGTGATCATATTATAATCAGCAGCAGCTTTCATGATTTGAGCCTTCAAGTTGTTTCCAGTTTATGATAATCCTAAAGCCATATTACAGGATTTAATTAGCAAGGTGTTTTTTTTTAGAGGAGGTCTGCCTTTGCCTTCTTCTGAGTCTGAGAAAGAGTGACTTGGCTAAGGTCACCCAGTGGATTTCCATGGCTGAGCAGGGATTTGAACCCTGGTCTCCAGAATCATAGTCCAGTGCTCAAACCATTGCAGTATACTGGCTGTCAGTAAGCAGCTGCTGGAAGTATATCCAGTTGTTATGATTACAAGTTGTTGAAAGCCTTTTCCATAATTTCCATTCCAACCAATTCTAATTTTTGTGGTGCAAGTTCTGCCATCCTACCCTTTTTCAACAGCAGCCCAAAGTCATGCTAACTGACTCCAATGCTTTCAAAGGCTATTTCTACATGCCAGCCACATCCCTTTGGCACAAGAGTTCCTCCGTTTTCTGCAGCCCATCTTGCCTTTTTTTTTTTTTTGTTAAATTTGTGGTCAAGAGAGTGGATTTCCATGAGCCAAGCTGCAAAATCTATTTTAATGCGTTTATCCAACTTTCCTTGGTAGCACTCCAGTCCAACTTCCGACGCTTTAGCAAAGGACGCGCCGCTTCTTTTGGCAGATCAATTATTCAGATGCTGTGATGGTCCGAGGCATCGTATCAGTAATAAAGTGGTAAATTATTAATCAAGCCTTGTGCCATTTCGATTAGATTTGGGAAATCCAGGATTAAATATCCGGCACCCTGTGTCTCGGCTTGAGATCAGCCCAGCTGGCTTGGCAGAAAAAGCAGCTCTGTACTTCATAGGAGGTGGCCAGATAAGAAATTACTTTCTTAAAAACAAAACAAAACAAAACAAATGGAGGAGGGGAGATAAGATTTTTTTTTCTTTTTCAAAGTGACAGTTTGTTCATCAGGATTTTGCTTGGCATCGGATGGGTTACTCACAGTTTGCAGCAGGCTTGTATAATGCATACAGTTAATAAAGCACTTAATTGCAGTGGGCAATCCATATTGTATTGTGGCAGTGAAGCCTCTGGCACTGATGGGCTGAGTTAATAAACTGGCAAAGAATCTCCACAACTATTCCAACTTCTCAGGAAGCAAGGCTTTTGTAAGGTGTGAAATCTGCCCATCTTCTCATGGTCTGATGGGATTAAAACTTCCCACAACTCCTAAGGACAAGAGTCGATTGAGAACCATTGAGAAGATGTTTGGGAAATCTAAAAATCAGAGTCATAGGGGTGCTTGATGCAGAGTCCTTTATACATTTGCAGATGGGAGCAATTTTGGAGGTTCTAGTGTGTACCATAACTGCTGGCAACCCTAATGTGGTAACAACAACCAACGACCAGTGAACATTACTTAGAACTAAGGATGAGTTATTAAATTCAAAGAGATCGCTAGTCTGGAAAATCAATATGCAAAGGGGTCTTGTAGTACCTTTGAGACTAACAGAAAAGAAGAAACTGAGAGCATGAGCTTTGGGTCCAGACTCCATTTTAGCTTATGCATCTGAGGAAGTAGACTGAAATCCATGAGAGTTCATGCTACCAGATGCTTTCCTTCAGTTAGGGGGATGCAGACCAGCACTTTAGGCCCACCTAGGAGTGGAGTTGGGGTGAGGTGACCGCAAGCCGGCTGCCCCAATTCCACCCCTATGCCGCGTGCCCAACCACCCGGTGTGTGGTGTCAGGGCATCCTCTTGGCGCAGCGTGCTTACACACTGCACCAAAAGGGCACAAAAGAGCTGCTGCGGTGGCTCAAAGGGTGGCTTTTTGCTGCCCCCCAAAAGAGCGGCATTTGGCCGCTTTTTTGGGGGCATTACAAAGGAGGATCGAGGCCATGGCATGTGGTTGCCATGGCCCCGATCTACTGCTCCCAGGGGTGGCACAGAGTCGGCCCTTACGGGCCATCTACATCAGCCCATAGTCTCAAAGGTGCTACAAGATCCCTTTGCATACTAAAGATGAGTGAGGGGTCATTCCCACCTCATATTTTTTAGCGCAACAATGTGAATAATCTCATTCACGCATTCTGGTTTTGTTATTCACACTATGGAACCACATTGTTGCGTATCAATGCTCATTGCTGTGCATCTCTCAAAGTTCGGTTGTTCACACATAGGACCTTATCACACGGGGTCTAAAGCAGCCCTAATCCAAA